AAAAGTACTTTAATTATTAATAATAGCAATTGTCAACTATTAAATTAGACAAAAACATTAATGGATAATTTCAAACCATTAAACTAACCAGTTACCAGCCCCAAAAACGGTGGGAGAATATTGACAGGCAGGCGCAGGCCCCATGTAATTTGCTGGAAGGAATTATTTTCCAACTCATTTTTTTCCACGTTCAACCAAATCAAAAAACCCCTGTCACGTCGCCCTATATAGTATATGTGTTGAAGCGTCGCATGCTTTTTTGACAAGGAAAACTACAAATCAACCCCGTAAATCATGGCAATTAGAATCTACAAATCCCTTTAATCTGGGTTCAAGGTTTAGTAGGCCCCCTCATTGCCAAACCAACCCAAAAGTCAAGAACATCTACCATTTTGAATTCACAAAACCTCCTGCTTTAACCATTTTGCCAAGGCTACATTGGTTAATAACGAATTTAGGATTTCTTTCTGTAGCTGTCTGATCTATCAGGATCGATATTGGTGCAAGAAAGCTAATTAATTAACCATAAAGAAAACAATTAGAAAATAAAGGCAAAAGCCCTCCTTAAGCCCCCAAACTTAGCCCAAAATAGCATTTAAGCCCCTAAATTATAAATAAGGCAAATAAGCCCTCCAACTCCACTAATGATGCAAATAAGCTCTCTTCACAAACAAACCTAATGGTATTTCATGTTTAACATTACTTTGAAAGCATGAACACCCATGAAGAAAAAGAGTTTATTCGCATTTTTAGTGGAGTTAGAGGGCTTAAATGTTATTTTGGGATAAGTTTGGGGTTTAAGAAGGTTTTTTTGCAGAAAATAAAAAACAATTGAATGAAAGCAGATGCTTGATTAGTGATTTGATTAAGGAGTGAGGTTATTGTTATCCTCTCAATAATTAATATTACCTGTTTAACTTAACTAATTATTATATTCTTATACTACACTGTCTCTTGAAATTCTATAGTTTTATTTTAAAAAAAAATTAAAATATATAATGATTAGATAAGATAAAAAAAATATAATCTTACTAATTGAATTTGTGATAGTAATACCATATATTTATCTAATTCTCTTATTAATTGAGGGTGTAAACACCACATATTTGCCTTATTCTCATGGCAGTTTATCATTATGGAACTAATATACACTCACATATGAAGCTCCAACAAATCCAATATTATTTTTTTCTTCGACCAGCAACAAATTCAACATTTAGTTTTAAGGCAAAAGTGAATATTATTACCAATGGAGTACAAGGTACTAACTACAGCAGGTATAGAGGAAGTCCAAATGTAGACACAACAAAACTCAACCAACAATTTTGCTGAGTCTAGGGTTAAATAACCAATCCAAAAAACAGAATTGTGTATCCTTTCCTCTGTATTTTAGCCAGAGAAAGGCTCTTACTTAAGTAAGATCAAACATTCTTTCTGTGTCTAACTCTTCTATGTTGAATAACACTCCGTTTCTGGTGAGCCAACATTAATATTCATACCATTTCATGTCAATGCAAAAAGAAAAGAAAGAAAGAAAGAAAAAAAAAAAAAAAAATATATATATATATATATATATTCATACCATTTCAAAATATAGATTACTCTTAGTTACAACATCCAGCAATATTCCGTTCATTAAAGAAAGAAAAAAAATCCAACATTATTTCATACAAAACCCTTGTGTGAATGCATTTTAATTAATTAAACAAGAAATTTATAGGACAAACAACGAAATTAATTTAGGAATCTAGACTGTTCATGAGAGCCAAAAGATTACTCGTCAATCTAGCTAGATACTTAATGCTCTTATTCATTGTATTCTTCACCATGTTGCTTACTTTCTTGTCATCAACGTCGTCGGTGCAGGTGCTATCGTCCGTCAGTGCCGCACTGGCCCAAGTCTTTACGTTTGCCAGTTGAAACTTCCGGTCCGAACCACGCGAATTCTCCATTGCCTTCAGGGAATCCTTGAGCTCGTCCAAGGAATCGTTGACATTTTCAGCGCATTCCTTTATAATGGCGGCGTCGCTGGGGCTCAACCCCTGTAGTTTTGACAAATAGGCAATCACGGCAGAGGCATTTCTTGCTGCCTTTAGGGTGACTGTTATGGCAGCGGTGCAGAGCTTATCGGGGTTGGCTTGGATGGTGGAGGCATAGGAGGAGAGAGATTTGTAGCATTCTTTGGGGTACATGGTGGAATTGCAGGCGGTTTTTACGTAGTATTTGTAGGAAGTGGTGGTGGAAGAGGATTTTGTGGTGGTTACGGTGGCGGATACTAGTTCCATGTTTGGCATTAGAACAAGAAGAATGGAAAACGAAAAAATGGAGAAGATTGAGACACCCTTTGCTTCCATTTTTCTCTTTCTCTATGCGTACGTTAGCTCTTGATGGATGTGTGGATGGGGCCCCAATTTATAGAAAAAAAGAAGAAGAAGAAGTCAGAATGTACAAACATGCGCCAAATTGAAATTTGAATCCTTCTTTGTAAGGAATAAAAAAAAAAAAAGAAATAATGTGATTATATACTATTTTTTATAGGAAAATTATTGATATATTTTTTAGTTTAATAATTTTTCAATATCAGTTTAGTTTAATTATTAACATTGATTTAGGGTGCGATTGGATTGTGATTGGAAACTTTTTCGGGTAGTCACGCAGTATTTTAGATATATATGTGTTTGATAAATTTTTTTTAAATTATTTTTTTTAAAAGTTATAGAAAAATATGGCAGATCTA